TTTTTGTATACTTTGTCAAATGTTCAAGCAGTGGGGAAATACCTTGTATACTGTACATAAATCATAGGTAATTAGGGAATAATGTGTTAATAAGTTAATAAACCAAGGTTATTGGTCTTGTTAAATGATTTTTGATTTTATAATACCCCATCTAAACATAACTTAACTATTAATATCTTTACTTTAAAGTAGACTTTTCTGATTTTGTTGACACAATTTGATATAGCAAAATCCTCAGCGTAAAATGAACATCCCCACTGGTCCCACTTCTACAAAGAGTTCAAATAAAACTAGAGCAGAGTTAAAGTGCTGAGTGAACAGAGAATAATGAACCCCTGCTGTTAAAATGCAGAATAACTGAAGAAAAACACAAAACTACAACCAAATTCAGTCACAACCTTAGGCCCTGCTGTCCACACAAACATGGGTATTGTCTAAATTGCAGCTTTTTTTTCTACAAAAAACACAGTATCCGACTGTCACTGAAACCCACATTTTTAAAACTCTTTTCAGGCTGAAGATTTTCAAAAGCACTAGGGTCTGTGTTTAAAAAAAAAAAGTTTTTGTTTACAAAAATCCCTGTGTATATGTGGAGATGGCCTTAGGAACTCAACTCAATCTCTCAAAATCTTTCATATTCATTAAATTATATGATGGTAATTTCCGGGGCTTCATATCAAATGGTTTTCTAATTTTAAACATAATAAATGTGTTTATGAAAATGAATTGATCTTTTGAAAGCAGTTGCTTTGAGTTAGAAAGCTAAATGTTCTCCTCCTATTCAGATTTTACATATGTTGTTCTTACAACCTATTTATCCACCGTCAACTATAGTTGCTGCATATAAAAATACAATTTTCTTGAAAAAATTTTTTTTCAAAACCTGGAGAAAATAAATGCAAAACATGTTCATACAGCACACTATTAACAAGGCTACATGCATGAAACCATGAAAATTTGGGCAATAATAAAATGAATAAAAAGCATTGGATGCAGCTCAGATTGCACTACACCAGGTCTGCATCAGACACCTCTCCGCAAAGTGTTAAATATCTGTAAACTATCATAACTATAGTTCTCAAGAAGATAAAAGGTCCCATGAAGTGCTTTGTAATGAACATTTTTTGTCTGAAGTATGACGTCATTTCAACTAAAAAATTAAAGACAGGACAGGACATAAAGTATCTCCTTCCCTTTAAAAAAAACAACCAATAATTTTATTTTTATCACAGCTCTGCCAATATGAGCGGTTTAGATTAAGTGGATAAAATAAAAAGCAAATGAGATGCGTCTTGAAGGGGCGGAGCATGTCATCTACTAAAGAGCATTTGATTGGTCAGTAGATTTTTTTGAGAAACTAAAGGTTGACGTCAAAAAAAATTGATCCATTTAGGCAGACAAACTGCAAGCTTTTGATGTTTATATCTTCTTAATGCAAATTTAGTCCCTGTTTTAAGGCACCAGCTTATAGATATCATCAAAACATATGATATCTATAATACTGATATAATACTCATACTGATACCTAAAAAAATAATTTTGATTTCATGGCAGCTTAAAAATCTTATCTTTCTGAGGGATTTATCTAGCGCAACACACAAAGAAACAGAACTTTACAGAACTACTTTATTGGATTAATGTAGGGAATAGTGAATGTGGGTATAGGGGCAATTTCACATACAAGTAGCATTTAAATCAAGGGTGCCCAAATGTTTCTTATAAAGGGCCAAAAACCAAACTTGATTGAGGGCTGGGGGCCAAAGCTAAATGTACCAAACCATATGATATTAAATTTGCTATGAGTAATTTCTTAATTTATTTGCTAATGTTTCAAAATAACTAGAAAACGTTGCTTTAAACCATATTAATTAATGATGCAGTGTCATTTTAGCAGTTTTGTAATGAACATATTACAGTAAAAACATAAACAATCTCTTTTATAACACAATGAACTTCAATGCTGATTACACCAGTCCAGCTGCTCCTGCCTCTGCCTTCATTTGCTCGCTGATGTCTTGTGCATCTCTCAACTGACAGTATTTACATTTTAAAAGTCTACTTATTTACAACATTTAATTTCAGTTTTTTTTTTTTTGTAGCTCATCAATAAAACAAAGAAACTAAAGTTTACATTAAATTCGAAATGATGGTTTCTGTCAAAGGCATTTGCCCCAACCAACTCCCCATCATTCTCCCTCTCTTTTCTGATGACAGGCCAAACCAAAGGTTACCAAGCGCCAACTTTAGCACACGAGCCCTATATCTTTGGTCTACAGCAAACTACACTATTTATTGGTGATGTGGTGGCACAGTAGGTAGCACAATCGCCTCACAGCAAGAAGGTCACTGCCTGGTTTGAGCCTCGGCTAAGTCAGTTGGCATTTCTGTGTGTAGTTTGCATGTTCTCCTTGCGTTCACGTGGGTTTCCTCCGAGTGCTCCGATTTTCCCCACAGTCCAAAGTCATGCGGTTCAGGTGAATTGGGTGAGCTAAAAAAACTGTCTGTAGGTTATGTGTGTGAATCAGAGTGTATAAGTGTTTCCCAGTGATGGGTTGCAGCTAGAAGGGCATCTGCTGTGTAAAACATATGCTGGATAAGTTGGCAGTTCATACCGCTGTGGCGACCCCATATAAATAAATGGACTAAGCCGAAAAAAAAATGAATGAATGAATGAGTGAACTATTTATAATACATCCTCATGCCTGTGTTCTTTCATTAATATTTTAAGCTATTTTATTACATTGCACTCTGGAATACTTGATTCTAATATACTAAATAATAAACTAATAATAACAAAAGCTCATGCAGGTACTTTGAATCACCTTGACCATTGATGAGTATGCATATTTGCAATTTTAATGTTCATCATTCACTCTGCTGTTCTTGACTGTTTGGCGCCATCTTGTGATTGAATATTAAGTAGGTTAGTTTAAGCAATGTTTGTTTCTGTCAGATTTACTTTTAATTAAAAAGTTCATACATTATTACAGCTTAGATCTGTTGTTTGTGGCTAGTTTAATTTTGTGGCAAGCATCTTTTTAAAAAGCAGGATAACACACATCCAGTAGCATAGATTAAAGTTTTTCTGTCGCATACAACAGCTTAAACTGCTGTTAGATGTGTATTATCTCTTACTTAAATAAGGACTGCTTTAATAAAAAATTTTTTTAGAATTAAAGTAGCGTTAGCTTTTAGATTTTTAAAAACTTTATTATGTAGGTTCAATGTATTTTTTGTAATTCATTTTTATTTTAAAACTTGTTTAATAATACTTTTGCAGCTTTAATTTAATTAATAAAATGTGTTAATAATATAGTTTTATATTATATAACATATAAAACATAAAAAATATATTTGAATAACAGAATTTTTTCTCTATTACTCTGCTGTCTGAATTGATAACAGAACTGTTAAATTTATTTACAGTCTATTTATGGATAGTACATTATATTTAAACTATTAAGAAGTAAAACATTAGAAGTAACACACACCACACACACACACACACACACACACACACACACACACACACACACACACACACACACACACACAAACAGAGATAGTGTTATCTTTGTTTAAACACTGTTGACAATGTTTCATGTGGTTTTGGTTGTAAGGCCTCAGTGGAAGGAAAATGAAACAAGGGTCACACCATCATATATTCAGAAAACTTCACCTTGAAGCCTCACAGTCAACCCAAATTTTAAAAAGCAGCCATTTTACAAAGAACAAACAATGTTGTGTTAGAGTGCTTAGCATTTTAAATACAATTATTTGAGTTTTAATAAAATTAAATAATTAAGATGAGACTTCTAGGTGAGATTTGTTGTCATGTTATTAAAATGTTAAACCATCATGGTCTTTTTATAATGAATAGGCCTAGGCTACTTTTCCTACATACCTGAGACTACATTTTTATTTATTTTTTCTATTTTTTAAAATGATTTACCTAATAATGGTTGCGTTGGAATATTGCCATGGCCACTTGAGTCAAAACGGCTGACAATCACTGATTTAGTTATAAAGTTAGAAATGAGGTTATTCTATAGTTAGAAATGCAACGAGAATGCAAAAATATGATTTATAAATCTTCATCATGGACCCCCTAGAGTTCTCTGAAGGACCCTCGAGGCTTAGCTGTAGAAATCATCCTGGAGAATATAGGTTACTCACTCTATTGGATGTATGGGGGGTGAAAGCAGCGCTCCCTCCGCACGGAATGAAACAATGTACCGACAACCATGCGCGCACGTGACCGCTCTGACAGCGAGACGCACTGCGTACATCCTCAAACGCATATCCTTCCGCTCATATCCTTCAACGCGAATTTTGCTTTGTCAACACTGCGCTGTGGAACGCATCTCATTGTCCTTCTACGCTGCCTGCTTTAAAAGTTGCAATTTTTTCTTTGCTAATATTTTCAAAAGAGACTGTTTGGATGGTTCATTTTCATCATTAAACGGCACGCGTCCGCGCACTATTTCTGCTCGTGGCGCAAGATACCTTCTTTTTTTCTGGGTAAACGTGCCGGATCTACGTTCTTTTTTCCTCTGTGGGAAGCCATGATGGCAGTTTGAGAGCGGAGCTGCGGAGCACCCTGAGGAGAGATGAGTCCCGCCGATAAACCGCGCATCTTCACGCTTCTCCAACGGCTACCGTCGCACATCTAACACGCAGTTCAGGTGGAGACTGTCAGTTGTATTTTTCGTGGAACCAACTCGGCCATCCAACGACGACGATGATCATTCGTTAGGAGGGTTTTGAGGGGGGGTTTAGCAGTGGTGGCTAGCGGGCGATGCTAGTCGGGAAAGGCTCGCCTGTGTGTTTTCTTCTTCGCGCGAAGATGGAGAGGATTCGCTCCTCTCTTTGGACCTGATCACGGCGCGCGCGCCGGACACACAGACTTCTGCCTTACTATTATTGTTATTATATCGGATGCGTTCCGGTTTGACCGGGCCGCGGGATCGGAGGACCTTTTCAGCAGCTCGGAGGACTGAGCGATCGGGACCGGGAGAGTCGGGCCTGCTGCGCCGGAGCGGATAGAGGCCCGTCTGCGAGAAACTCTAATCCGGCCCGCTGCGCAAGACCCACCGGGCCACACATACACAGTCAAGGGTGAGCGAGGCACGGAGCCATCCCGAGCAAACATTACCCCCATTCTGACAATAAACCGGAATAAAACTGAAGTGTTTTGAACTGCTGTCATGGCAATGACTGCTAAACTAAAAGAAATAGTCAGTCGGAATAAGCGGAGGTACCAGGAGGATGGATTTGATTTGGACCTCACTTGTATCCTTGCTTGATATTTTCTGTCTGTGTTAGTTATACATATGTGTTATGTCTTTAAAACGTCACGCTTTAGTGAGGTGAAGCTGTAACAATACGACTTCCTTATTTTTAAGACTTTTTCTATCTTGGCTAAAAACCTTTTTTAATGCTTAGTCATGACGCACTTGCTCTGTTAATAGTGAAATACTGTGTTTAACCTCACTTGGTGGGATGGCCGTGCTCAGATATCTGGTTTGACAGCATCAAGGCTGTAATGGCAGACAGCTTCCTTCCAGACAGGCAGAATTACATACAGTATAGGAGGCCCTGTCATTTTGTGTAATCGCGGCGTGTTTTGCTTTTTGACAGCTCCTGTATGTGCTTAGCACAACAATGACAGTAGTTTGCTGAAGAGATTGAACAAATCAGAGTGTATTGACACCTCTGTGATTTCTTGTACTCTCTAATGACAGTGCTATTGATCATGTAAAGACATGAGAGGTCTATTCACTGAAGCTAATGGATAATGCAGTGCAGTCATTGTGTTTAAACATTGCTATTCTTAGAAATCTCTGAATTCACTGATTTGCCAACACAAGATCGCCCTGTTACTTGATGGCCAAGAAAGTGTCTGACATCTTTATCGTATCAAAAAGGTAATTACTCATTCACTTGGAACCTGCCTCGTCATCACGTCTTAATGCTGTGGGTGATGATAAATTGTGGTCATGATTCTGATGTCTGAACGATTAACATTTTATTTATTGTACCTGTATTAGCGGTTGACCGATATCAGCCACTGAAAACCCTTTATCTAGAAATCTCTCTGGTTAGTGGCTGATAACTCTCTGTGATGTGCTCATAAATTTATTTTCGTGCTAAATTAATTGGGATTTTGAAAACAGAAGTGACTAAAACCAGTTGACAAAGTTGTCAGATGGTTTAGGATCTAAAAAAGCCAAGCTCTCTCTCAAATAATGGCCAGTTAATCACCCTGGCTCTTGACCTATTATTATTACACAACTAAATGAAAGGAACATTTTATTTTTCCAAGCATTTACATGCCTCAAAAAACAGAACTCTGGTGGAAATTCCCTTTTGATCGTAAACTCATCATGACTGTTGAAGAAGTTATATATTTTCATTTGCTTTAAGACCTCTCCTTTTTCTGTTAATCGCCTCTTGTTTGGCTGATGTGTGCAAGCACTGAATATGTGGGTAAGGTGTGAGCTACTCTAAGCAGATGTGATTGTTCTCATGCAGTTTTTGCACTAGCGAGTGGCTCAATTTTACTGCCTTCCAAGTATTATAGATTTGAGTGTGGCAGACCAGGTGTTCGACAATAAACGGGATGCTTTTGTCAAATGCAGGAGTCTAACAGATCCATGAGTGATGCTGGTGAACTTCTGGAGGTTTTTTCTAAACAAAGGAGGACATGATTATCCAGCATTGCCTGTTCCCCCACTGCAGTAAATCTCACCTCTGATTCTGCAAAGCTACACCACTGGAGTACAGAGCATGCTGGGAAAGGTCAAATGTCACACAAGCTGTCAGCTGCAGAGTTTAATGCCTCGGTCTCTCAAATTACTACATTATCTGTTTCTGGTTTAGACATTAGTGTTTTGATAAGCCCCAACCTCACTTTCTTTTGCATTTGCTGTAGTTCTGAGATTTGTTTGCACACCGAGTGTGTGGTTTAAGCACCATGTCAGTATTCTCGCATATCGGTACATTTAAAGGGGTGGACGGTGTTTAAGAGTTTTGGGTGGAAATGGTTTGCATGTTAAAACCACTGCCTCTTTCTGTGTGACTGTGTATGTTTCTTGGCTGACATCGAGGTATTACTTGGCATCTGAAGAAGGAGAGAGATGCAATGAAGATGTCTTGTCATGCTGACTTTATTCTACACATTACTTGCACATGATGAACATGCCTTGATGTGGATGTATGTTTTATTCACATTGACGTGTGCATTTTTTATGAAAGATGGAACAAGGCTGCATTGTGTGGCATTGCAGAAACACAAGCCTCTGGGGATTTTTACTATGATCTTGCACATTTTATCTGCTTTTGTCTAGGATGAGGTGTGCAATAAGTTGGTGCTATATATATATTACTATATGCAATAACTCCAAGTTTACCCTTTCTTTTTTTGAGCAGTATATTTATATAGACAATAGCATATCATTTTCATATCGGTAGTTGATGATTTACCGATCATAACTTTAAAATTATTATTGGCTTATCAGTCTATCCCTAGATTGATTCTTGCATGTAAGCTTTCATAATGTTGCTCTATGAGGAGGAACCTGCAAAAGTTGTGCTAAGTTTGTTGTTTTTAACACTGACTTATCTAACCCTCTCTCATTGGTGATTACATTCTTGTGCTCAACAGAAATGGCTACATTTAAATGTGGTTGCAATTCGATAATGTAGTATGTGTAGAACCATTTGTAAAGCCTCAGATTTAAGGCATTCATTCATTTTCACTTTTCACTTTAAGAGCTAATTCCTTAATATTTTTAGGATAGTTCTGATTTGTGCACAAGTTTTTGGCCATTTCTCTTGATTTTTGGGGGTTTGGTATTTTGCCATAAGACCCCATTAATTTCGAAACCTGGACAGAAAAAAGTTAACTATTGATTTAGTTTACATAGGGGCTTAAATGTCCCTTCAGTTAAACCAAAGACAATAGAATATTTAAGACATGTCACTCGTATAGTTTTGAAAGGTCAATATGGTGAATAAAACCCCGCCTTCTAGTACAGGAGCCAATCATTGATCTCTATTCACCTTATTCTTAACGTATGAGCGGGCGCAGCCATTTAAAATTTTTTGGCTCGAGACTTCCTGTCTCATTCACTTCCATTAATTTTTAGAAGTTAAAAACAGCTCGTTATGCTGCTTAATTTTGCAGACTTATATTTTCTTATATTTTACTTTGTCTGTACAGTCATGCAAACAATTTTTTTGTAGAGTTAGTAGTTTGACTAAATTCTGCCGTTCAGTATTCCTAGTCATTTCTCTTATAGGCGACTGAATCATAAGTTAAAAAACAATCGAAAAAACGAGCGCGCTTTCACATTGAAGAATAAGATCAAGAGACTGACAGTTCTCCGGGGAGAGAACTCGGACCAGATGTGTCCTTTTATGACAGTTTGGTGGTCAACAAACACACTGGAATCTCAGCGAATACTTGCTTCACAGACAGAAGAAATATATCCAATTAAAGCTTGAAATCTGTGCTTTCAAAGAGCCAAGTGCAGATGATAACAACAGTTTTTATGTTTTGTAATCTGTATGAAATAAACGCAAGGTACAGTGCGTCCTGTCAAACGCACATCACACAACAGCCACTAATCAAACACCCACAAGCTTGTAAACAAAGGGTCGCTGTCATTTCTGGAGGAGATTCGCAATCAAGACAAGTTGTGAGTTACTTTAGAAGAGTAGTGTGATCAGATGAAGCATTATTTAGAGAATGATAATGTGTAAAACAGCCATAAGTGAGGTTAGTGTTGTGATCTCGTTCCATTCAAGTGCGCATGTGCATTAGCTTGGGCAATCTTAAAATATGCAGTTTTTGTTTTATTCTGACGTTTAGAAACTAAACTTACTAGACAGATTTTGTTGAATTTTATTGGTGATTTTAAATATGTAATTTAATCGTTAGCTTGGCAAACAGTTTTGGAGAATTTGATGTTTTCCCATTTAGAACGAATGCCTGAGCATACTACCCAAGAGGCATTTCAAAGATGGCTGCCGAGTGAAATAACTTGACTATACTTTGTCTTCGAAAATTACTCACTTTGTCTTATTTTGAGATGTGATAACTTTAAAAACATTACATATTCTTTCTTCCATGCACAATACATTCAATTTTTAGTCATTTTTCTGATCTATTGTGGTTTGTTCAGGGATACTTATTTGTGAACACAATCTAATTTAGTGCTTTTAGGTTTTCGAACAGTCGTGATGATGTAGGAGTCGCTAACTGTTTTAAAGCAATTGGGCTCAAAATAAGCTTGACTCATCCAATTAAAAAGCTTCTGGCTTTCTTTTCTGACAGTGCATGACAGGAAACGAGCAGAACTGAAAAGCCCAGCGTGTTATGGTCGAGGTGTGAAGTAGCCCAAGAGTCTGCACACATCATGGGAGCCGAGCGAACAGTGCAAATGCCTGCAGATGCACAGTGAGCTAGAAAAGTGAGAAAATAATGCATGGGAAAAAATGAGGTTCAGTAGAGGGAGATAGCATTGTCTCACCATGTCAGAAAGCTGTGTGATTGAGTGTTGGAGTTGTGTTTGAATGCAGTGACTTCTTGGTGACCCTTGATCTCATTGGTTCAGGTCAGGATTGTGAAGCAGTCTGACCTGGTTTTGTAGGTTTGAAGTGCAGACACTCCTGTGCCCACGGTCTAGCACTTTGCTAAAAGGTCAATGCATAATGATGATGGTGAGAGTGTGACATTTACACTATACAGACAGCTGAGCGTCTGTATCACAGTTTTTGCCTTTGTTTTTATGTAATTTTCAAGTCGGTAAGCTATTTGAGCTGCAATCTGTCTGATTACAGTAGAATCGCTGTCCACATATCTAGTATGTTTTCCTCATTTGCCTACATGGTAAAGGTAATACATGTTCATATTGTTAGGCTTTTGTGATAAAGATATTTCTTGCAATACAACATTTCCTTAGAGAAATGTTACTTATTTTTTATTAATGAATGTTTAAGTATTTTTCTGATCAAATTACATCTATTTCATCGACTTTAAAACACAATGGATGACTGAATGCCTCTGCTGATTTTAAAATTTTTATTCACTGTTGTCATTTTTCTTGCTTGTCTCTTCTCTCACAATCAGTATTTATTTTCAGCTCTGCTCTAAGGCACTATAGCTTTACTTTTGGGCCTGCTCTAGCCAGTAGCATTGTAAAACCTACTGGGGAGGCAGGTGCACAGAAAGTAAGGTCCCGGTTGATTACTCAAATTTGGGTTAACAACCTATGCTTTTAGCACATAAATATTTGGCACATAAAATATTTTTATTGCACCATTCTGTGAGACATATTTCATTTATTACTATTGTTACGATGATAATGTTTTAATAAGACGCAGCGCTAGTTTCTTGTTTAGATTGTTGAATGTATGTAGTAACATCTTGTAGATTTAATTTTATTGTTTATTTTGCTTAATGTTAACCTGGTGTACAGTGCACATATGATCTTTTTCTTTAACACACATGTCAGACATATACCCTAACATCATTGCCATGGGCTTTCCAGCCGAACGATTGGAAGGTGTTTACCGAAACAACATTGATGACGTTGTCCGGTAAGTCAACGTGGTAAAACACACAATTCTTTTTTTTTTTATTTATTTATTTATTTTTATTTCGTCTCACCGTAAATTTGACAAATTATGCATTTTTTTTTGAATGAATAGTCACTAACAAATGTTAGTCAGTTGTTTCATCTAATAGCTTGTTGAAATTCAAAATTGTAACTTCTGTCTTTCTTAATTTTTTTGTCTTTCAGGTTTTTAGATTCCAAGCATAAGAATCATTATAAAATTTATAATCTGTAAGTATTTAATTATATTTGAGTAATGACATACCAAACATAAATTGTTTGTTCGGAGTTTAACTCTCCTGATTTTCTTTTTTAGATGTGCTGAACGACACTACGATGCATCTAAATTCAACTGTAGAGGTGAGTACAACCCCTACTTCATTTTAACAGTGTCTAATTCTGAAACTAGTGTTAAAAAGACTACTTTTTATGGTCTCTTTAATTTTGCCCAAATTCTAAAATAGTTAAACTGTTGTCCATAGTAAAAAATGTGTTTGGGGGAAATAATAGTCTGCTGTTTTGGGAGAGTCAGGGTCAGTGGTTTTTCATCCTATCATGACATGAAATGTAAGGATTTTATTTCATTTTAAATTTGGTACTTCCATTCCTCATTTTTCATGCAGTACTTCAGAATGTTCATTAAAAGGATTATTTACTTAGAAATGAAAACTTACTTACCCTCAAGTGGTTTCAAATCTTTTAAGTTTCTTTCTTCTGTTGAACACAGAAGAAGATTATTTCTTTTTTTTAAGAAAGCTGGAAATGTGTACCCTTTGACTTTCATAGTAGGAAAACAAATACCCTTAAGTCATTGATTGGTGGTTTGCAGCTTTCTTTAAACTATTTTATTTTGTGTTTACCAGAATAAAGATGCTTTAAAGTAGTTACACATGTATGTTTATGCATATATGTGGGATATACTTTTTTAAACTAATGTACATTCTTTGAAAGTGCACATTTTCAAATGTTTGAAGCAATGATTTTCCTTTGCTTTATTCTACTGATTGAGCTGCAGAATCTACTGTGCAATGTATTTTTCTGTAAAGGATTTGAGTGTCTACTGCAGCTGTTTAAATGTGTTGCTTTATTGACAGTTATTGATATTTTTGCAGCTTTAGCCGCTGGGGATGTTAGTCTTGCAGACAGTGCTGCACGCAACTGGTGACAGCTTTAATGCCATTCATATGGAATTTGTGAAATAATGTCTAACTTTTACTTTCTTTGCCTAATGAGCTAATTTTGCATGATTCACAAAAGGACTGCATGATAATAAAAAATCTGATATTCCGCTATTTTATTTTTCTGTGATAAATATTGTGATATAAATGCAGTTTTACAAGATTGTTTGAATAGCAATATTTGGTGGTTTTCTAGGGAGTCGGAACAGTATTCAGGTACAGAAATTGAATCACATTGCAAAAACTGCTTTTCTTACTTTTTGTTTTGTTTCAAGTCCAAATATCAAAAAATTCTTAGAGCAAATGAAGATTTTGGTTAGTTTCCCTGTTACAAGAAATAAGTGAAGATTTTCCTAATGGGGTAAGTCAAATATACTTGTTTTTGCTTTAAAATGTAGACATTTGGACTAGAAACAAGACAAAAATTTGAAGAAAGAAATGTTTTTGTGCATAAATCATATAAATTCCACATAAATGCAATGATACAATTTTGTAGCTCCTGGTCGACTATAATTCAGACTCAAGATTGCATGTCTTTGCAGTGTGTCTCTTGTAAGTACACACATTGCAATATTGATGCTGAAACGATATATTGTGCAGCCCTTATTCACATGAACATTTGCCACTTGTTTCACACAGATTAGCATTTCCTTCCTGAAAATCATCATTCAGTCTTCATTATTTTGTCCTCTTTGGAAAAACTGCAAAGGTACTGAATTTTAAATCTGTTTGTGTATTCAGTGGCACAGTATCCCTTCGAGGACCACAACCCTCCACAATTGGAATTAATAAAGCCCTTCTGCGAGGATCTCGACCAGTGGCTGTCCGAGGATGAGAACCATGTGGCTGCCATCCACTGCAAGGCAGGCAAAGGTCGCACAGGTGTCATGATATGTGCCTATCTGCTGCATCGCAAGAAGTTCGCAGAGGCTCAAGAGGCACTGGACTTTTATGGGGAAGTCAGAACCAGGGATAAAAAGGTACAATTTTAGTTCGTCATTCTATTTTCAAACTGGAACTGTTGCTGCATTGATGATGAGTTATCACAGCTCAATTGCACTTCCATGTTTTAATGGATTACACATGTTTGAACTAGTATTGCTGTGTGGTTTTGGACAAAAAGTGACATTATAAAAAAATTTTCTACAGTATTCGGTTATAAAAATAGAGAAATGTTCATCAGATTACTTTTTTCCCAAAAAATATTAATTTGGAAGATTTATAGTGCAAACTGTCCTTTAAAGGGCACATAGTTTACCCCTTTTTTATGATTTAATGTTAATATTATGGTTCTTCTGAGTGTGCCAGTTTAGGTTCAGTTCAAAACACAGTTCAGATTTTTTTATTATAATGTGTTAAAAAGTGTCATTTTGGGGTGTGTTGCTTCACATGAAAATTAGTTTCTATGTTGTTTCTTTGTTGTTAAATTGAAAAAAAGGACTGGGTGTATGGTTGTGCTGATAGACGATAGTATCGTGTCGACGATAGTATTGTGTATCGACGATAGGCAAAGATATCGCCGAGAGCTGAAACCTGTGACGATTTTAAAGACGATATTTAGCTCGTTTTGCATTAATGTAGATCTATTACATGTTTTAATTGCATTTTTGCATAAAATGAATAGTAACATCATCAACATCATTTAAACATCATCATTAATAATTAATTAATTATAAATAACATGACAGCTTCAGCTGTTCACATTAATATCCCCTGACCGACACTTTTGGACAAAATGTATTACTTCGATGTATTACTCTCTCTCTCTCTCTCTCTCTCTCTCTCTCTCTTTCTCTCTCTCTCTCTCTCTCTCTCTCTCTCTCTCTTTCTCTCTCTCTCTCTCTCTCTCTCTCTTTCTCTCTCTCTCTCTCTCTCTCTCTCTCTCTCTCTCTCTGTCTCTCTCTTTGTCTCTCTCTTTGTCTCTCTCTCTCTCTCTCTCTCTCTCTCTCTCTCTCTCTCTCTCTGTCTCCGTCTCAGCAGCAGCAGGTGTTGAAGTGCGAGCTGCATGTGAGGACACAGCCACATCTTTGAGCAAATTAGTTTGCAACTTTGTTGCATAAAAATAATAGGCTAAATAGCAAAACTGTATTTAATTAACAAACAAGTTAAATAAAACCATTTGTAAAAATTAAACTACTGAAAAAGAAAATGAAAGAATTCTGAAACCAGCTCAAATGTTCAGGAATTAAACGTGTTGCGGGTCGTTGATCATTTAAGACTCCTTTAACAGCACTGGCGCATGATTCTCTCTAGCTTTCACAAAACAAGTTATTTATTTTTTACATAGGTTATTACATGCACCTTTTTCAGAAAATAACCCATTTAATTAATTAAAAAATATGTTAGGTCTATATTTATTTTTATAGCCTAAAATATATTTTATTTACTTATTTAAACTAGCCTCTATGCAATTAAAAACAATCTGTATTTAACCATTCGTTTTGGCATTAAAGAAGTATTGAACAGATTATTAATAACTTATCAAAGAACATTTTACTGAGCTCAGTGAAAAGTTTTAGGTCAAAAAAGCAATTTAATATTAGAGCAATGGGCTATTGCCTGCTCGCCGCAGCCGTGTCTAAAATAAAACTCAATCAGAAAACAATAAACACATAGCCTATGCCAAGCACAACACTGTGTTAGATCTTAGCAAATTACTTTTGTAATGATTACACCTGAAGCCGCGCCACCGCATAGAAACAGTCATGTGCTGACGGTGACTCCTCCATCCGCCTCCTGTTTGGACCTTAATGCGTTCTTGTTTCTTCCGTACGTAGATAAATGTCATTTTATTTGCTTTCATTTATGTATATTATATCCATTTTGCGGCAGTCCCGCGGGCCGAGGATAACGGCATGAACCCGAAGTCACCATCAAATCCTGTGTCGTGTTGCAGTGTTGAGTCTTGTTTGATATAATTTCGGTCTCGAAGCCTATTTAGCTGTAAAAGTGCAGTAATTTGCATTGGTTTGAATTATTATCCAAAATCAAATGTTACGCAAATGCAATAGGTTATTAAATAAGTTTAAAAATCAGCCGAAAGGTTAATAAATATGTTAAGATATGGTTAAATATAATAATAATAATAATTTATTTAAATATATTTATATGTATGATATATTATATATATTATGTATATATTATATATATTATATATATATATATATATATATATATATATATATATATATATATATATATATATATATATAACACTGCCGCGCCCCAATGCAATAGTATAGTGTATCGACGGTCTCACAGGGGGGAGATATGGCGATCTGAAAATTTTGTAAATCGCACAACACTAACTGGGTGTGTTTATATCACCCCAATATGATGGTCTATGACTACACACGTCTATCTAAACAGCTTGAAAAGTAGATTTTTCACCATAGATGCCCTTTATGAGCTTGAGGCTGGGGGGTTATGGTATAACTTTTACTTGTCTAAAAGTACTTGTACTAAGCCACAAAGAAATGCGTCTTAGTGCCAAAATCAAGGCACATTTATTATGAAGTCTGTGCCTTTTTGCAATGCTACCAAGTCTGCCAAATCATACTAGTCTTAATAGCCATTCTTCTTTATTTCAGGGGGTGACAATTCCCAGCCAGCGCAGGTATGTGTATTACTACAGCTACCTGCTGAAGAACAAGCTGGACTATAAACCCGTTGCCCTCCTCTTCCATAAAATGGTGTTCCAGACTTTGCCCATGTTCAGTGGGGGCACCTGCAGTAAGTCTTATTCTCCTTTAAACCTCTCCAAAAACACAACAGCGTGCTGCAGTTTAGCTTTTCTGAATGTTGTTGTGGTTTTAAAAGCATGCGTGTTTGTGGCATACACATTAAAGCCTGCAGAACAAGCAGAGAACATGTTATTTGATGTAACTGACATGCTTATGCTGTCATGTGGGGTTGTGGTCGCACTCACAAGTGAGCTGCCGTTGTGTTTTGTCATTTTAACCCTGTACCACAACCTTCGCCTCTGTCCCTAACATTCTAACACTCATGGGTACACTGTCTTTCTCTGTTCCTTTTTTCTTCTTTTTTTAAAAAGTTTCCCCTGAGGAAGTTTCCCTTCGGTTTCTATATATCGGCTCCTGCAGCCCACCACAGTCTGGCGTTTAATGACATCACAGTTCGTGCCCACCCTCATTCCCTCCCTCCATTCGTACATAGCGTGCTAGTCAGTGTTTTGTTCACGTTTGCCACGCCAACCCAAACTGCACCCTACATGCCATTTTTGGGAAGTTCTTCATTTTTCGAAATTGGAACTAAAAGTGCAGAGTCAGTCTCAGTACTCCCATGTTTCAGACTTTCAGACCTGTGTGTGTGTGTGTGTGTGTGTGTCTTGCCAAGGCCAGTGTGGAGCAGCCAAGCTCCTGGCCAGGCTGATTGTGGTGGTGGTGTTTAACTTCCTTCTCTTTCTCTAAGGGGACAGTACTGTTAAAAACAGGAGTGAGGTGAATCCCCAGGGCTTCAAGAAAGGCAGCTGGCACTGGGGTAAAACGGCATTACTTTACTACTACTGTTAAAGCAAACGTCTTAATGTTCAGACAGGCCCGGCCCTGTACTGCATTCAGTACAGTTCAGTACAGCGTTTACTGTTGCTCTAGTTTCTCTCAGAAAGAAGTCTCATAACATTAACTACAATGTTTGAAATGTTTTTCACAGATGTTCGGTTTTTCAAAAGAACAAAACAATGTAACCATAATGAACAAGTCACACTGAATAAATGTGAAAGAAAAGAAACAAATAGTATGCTGGGAAATATGACCTAAATTTCATATTAAAGTAGGAGCAATTTTATATTACAGTACTGATGATTGAAATACTTCACTTTTATTATACTTCTAAGAAGTTATATATTGGTTAGGAACACATGTTTAATCTATACATTATTAAAAAGGGGTAGTTCACCCTAAAGTCATCATCATTTACTGGACCTCATGCTCTTTCAAACAAATTTTTCCATGTCTTCCTTTTTTTCATGGAAAATAAATGTTACAGAATTTTGCTAAACATTGGTTTGTTTGCAAATAATTTTCATTTTATCAGACATTTGTGTTGTAATAAGCATTTTTGGAAAAAAAAAAAAAAGTCTAAAAATATGCTACACATACCACTACCTATAACTACCCATCATAATATACCACAATTTACAGAAGACACCCATTAAAGGAGGTCATATACAGTACAGACCAAAAGTTTGGGCACACCTCATTCAAAGAGTTTTTTTTATTTTCATGACTATGAAAATTGTAGATTTACACTGAAGGCACCAAAACTATGAATTAACATGTAGAGTTATATACATAACAAAGTGTGAAACAACTGAAAATGTCTTATTCTAGGTTCTTCAAAGTAGTCACCTTTTGCTTATTGCTTTGCACACTCTTTGTATTCTCTTGATGAGCTTCAAGAGTTAGTCACCTGAAATGGTCTTTTAAAAGCCTTGAAGGAGTTCCCAGAGATGCTTGGCACTTGTTGGCCTTTTTTCCTTCAGTCTGTGGTCCAGCTCACTGGAGGCTAGGTGACTGGAGGCTAGGTCATCTGGTGCAGCACCCCATCAATTAGCCCCAAATAACCCTTACACAGCCTGGAGGTGTGTTTGGGGTCATTGTCCTGTTGAAAAATAAATGATGGTCTAACTAAACGCAAACCGGATGGAATAGCATGTCACTGCGAGAGCATGTCGCTGTCTCTAATCTGAGCTGCTGTTAACCTTCGATTTCTGAAGCTGGTGACTGAGATGAGCTTATCCTCCGCAGCAGAGGTGATTCTTGGTCTTCCTTTCCTGGGGTGGTCTGCATGTGAGCCAGTTTCTTTGTAGCGCTTGATGATTTTTGTGACTGCTCTTATAGAGACTTTCAAAGTTTTCCCAATTTTTTTGGATTGACTGACTGACCTTCATTTCACCGGGCACACCTGTGAAGTGAAGACCGTTTCAGATGACTACCTCTTGAAGCTCATCAAAAGAATGCCAAGAGTGTGCAAAGCGGTAATCAAAGCAAAAGGTGGCTACGTTTCAAGGACCTAGAAAATGTTATATTTTCATTTTTCCTCACAGTTTTTTGTTATGTATATAATTCCACATGTGTTAATTCATAGTTTTGATGCCTTCAGTGTGAATCTACAATTTTCATAGCAATAAAAATAACTCCTTTGAATGAGGTGTGCCCAAACCTTTGGCCTGTACTGTACAAAAAATTGTCACTAGAAATAGTCCTTGTAATAGGGCTGTACAATATATTGTTTCAGCATCGACATCACAATGTGTGCAGCAGCTACAGAATTGTATTTAATCACTGTATTTGTTTGGAAATTATAGGATTTATGCACAAATACATCTCTCTTTTCTTTCCAGTTTTTGTCTAGTTTCTATTCCAAATATCTACATTTCAAATTGAAAACAAGATTATTTTACATACCCCACTGGCAGATAATTCCTTAAAACAAGCACAAAAACTCTTTAATTTTCACTTATTTCTTCTGAAGGTGAAAACAAAACCATATTTTTATTTGCTCTTAATTTTTTTTTTTAATATTTAGACTAGAAACGAGACAATACATTCTGTACCTGAATACTGCTAGACTTCTCAGAAAATCATCAAATAGAGCTATTCAAACTATCTTGTGAAACTGCATACATATCGCAGTATTTAAAGCAGAAAAATAAAATATCGCAATGTCGCGCAGGCCTTCTTTCTAGTATGCTGATAATTATTTTGGGGAGACCATTATTCATTTGTTTTTAATAAACACTTTGTTCAACAACAACAACAAAAAAAACTTTTAATTAATTGAATGCTTCCTAGCTTGAATATCTGTTCATTTCTTTAAAAAAAATGTGACTTACAACAAGCATTTGAATTGCAGTGTTAAAATAGTACACTGTCTATGAGCTGAAATCCACTGTAATACTGCACACGTACTGTACGTGAGGAAGAGAAAAGCCTCTCGGTGTTGAAGCTGACTGTGCTGGGTGCATGCAGGCGTAGGCTGCTTTTGTGGGGAAGTTTTGGGTGCTTGTTCTTCAATGCATCTTCTCTCCTTTTGCATCAAACCCTGCTCCTTATCACTGACATGTCTTGACTGATGATGTCAGAGCTGCAGGTGTTCTTATTTCACTCATTGTGGGCTTCTTGAGAATTAACACCTTTCTTTTTTTGTACTTCTGCAATGCTTTTGCTTGCATTTACTGTTTTTGCCTCCACAGTCTGATGTCCTTTTCTCCTCCTCACTCTTCCATCTCTGTTTTGTCAAACAGACCCTCAGTTCGTAGTGTATCAGTTGAAGGTAAAGATCCACACGTCAAATCCAGCCCACACGCGAAGGGAAGAGAAGCACATGATCTTCGAGTTTCCTCAGCCGCTTCCGGTTTGTGGCGACATCAAGGTGGAGTTTTTCCACAAGCAGAGCAAGATGATGAAGAAGGTATGTTTAACTCGCCTTGACCTCCTGCATAAACCACTGGTACAGCTTATCGCAGGATCTTGACCTTGTTTCCATGACTGCAGGGACGATGTGTTGTTATTTGGCGGTTTGTGGGTTTCCTATTGTTTAACATAGTCTTTTGCTGCTTGTGTTCTTAATAGGTCTTCTATCTGAATGTTTTTATTTTATTCCTTTTATTCCATTCCATTTTTCCATTCCATTGTAACAGATCTGCACTGTTAAAATTTCACAAGTGGAGCTTCTGCTTAAACATTGAACACAACTAATCTGATTACACATCTGAAAGGCCAACTTGACAAAGTTTTCAACAAGTTCAGTGAATGTTATCATGAATTAGTAATATTAATAAAAAGTTAAATTCTTAATTCAATTTAGGATTTTTAAGTTAAGAATGTTACTTTGAGCAATGCATTTGATTCTAATTGAGACCTGTTATAATGTACCGATTGAAATGAATACATTTTAAACAAATTATTAACATAAAAATTAGTGTAAAATGGTGAACCACCAGTATTTGCTAAAATTAAACATTCAGATTCTCTATTGTACGCAGATGACACTGTTCTTTTTGTGTTTGAATCAAGTACAGACACAATTAACAATAAATAAAATACAGATCTTCAGCATTTACATGAGTGGCTGCAAGACAATCAGTTGATTATTAACAAAAACAGAGTGTATGTACTTTTATTCACCTAGGAGAAAATTATCCATTCCCTATCCCATCACTTTCTCAAATCAAAAACTTTCCTTTGTATCCACATATCAATATTTGGGAATCAGTCTGGACTCTCACCTCACTTATTCTAACCACGTTCAAAATGTTTCTAAAAAGCTGAAACAAAAGCTATTTGTTTATGGGAAAATTTGGACAAATTTGTCTTTTTCAGAAACTTATCTTCATGCCATAATTTTGTCTACCTTGTCTTACTGTCTGCCTGTTTGGTCTCTCACAACAAATGATATCTTGGAGCCAATAGCTAGACTGTACAATAGAGCCTATAAGATCCACAACAGACTTTCTGGATGAACACATCACTGTTTTGCTCTATCACTCTCTAATGCTTTAACATTTCAAAACTATGTTATGAACACAGGGATTATTCTGTACTATAAAATTGTAAATAGCGCTACCTCAGCAGCCCTTTGTGCTTTGGTACCAAAACTCAACACAAGGACTGATCGTTCCACCAGATCTGTAAAAAAAAAAATGGATGTTTGCCATTACCACCTTTTAAATACTTTTATGGACCGAGATCTTTCTTTTATGTGTTCACAAAAGAACTGGAATGAGATCCCACAACATCTGAAAACAATACCAACACTGAGACTTTTTAAAAAATCACATCCTCGTCATCTGATGGTCAACTATTGCTGTAGCCTCTGAGATAGTAGCCTGCTTTTCTCTATTTTATATGTTTGGTGATTGTTTGTACTAAGTTGATGGATGAGATGTCTCTCTGTTTTTATGTTCTGCAGAGCAGGAACCTGCTGAAAATCAGCATTTATGCTGAGTCAGGCCCAATTATCTTTTAATATTTTCCTGTTTAAAAGTTATAAATAAAATAAATACATTTTAATATTGATTCCTCTATATTTAAGACGTTTTTCTTTAAACTTTCTATATCATTAGAGAAACCTGAATACTAAAAAAATCTGGATTACTGTTTTCAACATAGCTAATCATCAGAAAAGTCTTTTACATTATTGTAAGTCATATTCACACTGTGTGATTTTCAAAATGATTGGATCTCCTTTGTTTTCACACTCCATGACCATCTGACGTAGACAAGGGCTGGGATAAGATTCTGACGGTATGATAAACTTGGATAAAATATGATGGTATATTGTGATTACTGCTCTAAAATATGTTATTTTTCAATGTCTGAGTAAAAGAACTAATGTTTTCCCTCTTTGAACACAATAAGTTTTATTTTAGGAAACATTTAAAACAGTTTAGGCTAAAAAGTTCAAATTAATCAATGACTTCTGCTGTGTTCATTTATTTCAAAAACACAGATTTGTTTGCTATTTAAAACGCCATCTTAAAATAGCTTTTCTGCAGGAGATACTGTTGTCCTAAAAATCTAAACAAAAAAAAACATTTAAAAAAAAAAACTTACACATTTCCTAAGAACGATGTAGCAGAAAATGTTGGCCCTTCTAAAACCTTGACTTTTCCAAACCCCGGTATACCTTGAAAATGGTTATTGTCCCATACCTAATCTGGCGTCATGTTCAGTAGCTCCTGTGTAGACATTATGCAATGCATTGCCAACAGGAGCTTACATACAGCATGAATTTTATGTGGGAAGAATCAACAAAAACTCTGTTTGGCTCACAATCTAAAGCCCCGTTCAGATTACATAATTTTTCCCCCAATTTCTGCTCTATTTACTTGATGTAAGTGAAGATGCTTAAAGAAAAAATATTTTTGTCAGGATGCAAATTTCAATTGTGTCTTTTTGTGTATTGTGTCATAGTGCAAGCCAAACAATACCATGTCTGCGGTGCTTCACAACATCATACCAGAAAATCTAGCATCTTTGATTTTTCCCGCATCGAAACACTTGACAGTGTTACAGAGAAACGCCGTACATGAAGCAATGTATAATTTGGTATATTTGCTATCCATGACACAACAAGATTTTATTTACACCAAATCAAATAATTTTTGGTTGTAATTCAAAATAAAATTATGTGGTCTGAACAGGGCTTAAGTTTCACATTTTAGAATAAACATCAAAAAGACATTGGTGCTCCTGCTATTTTTTTCCATACCTGCCTCCATTTTTTGGGGTCCAAAAAGAGAAAGAACCTCCTAAATGTTTTCTAATATTGTGGTCAATAACTTCTCCATGATGTCTTTTATCTTGCTTTGACATTGGACGTAGCTTATCACTTTGCCGAAATCTGCAGATTTCCACAGATTTTTAGCCCATCATATAGTTATTTACTTGTGTAAATTTATATTTATTCAGTTTTTTAAGTTAATTTCAGTAATTTTATTGACTAATATGAAAATGTTCATATGATTTATTTACAATACAATTTGTAAAGTAATAGTTTCTGTTTTTTAGTCGATATATTATATAAGATACTTGCTTTGTTTATTAAATATGTGGATCTAATTTGATTTGCATTGTAAACATTAAATAAAAGTTAAAACTGTATTATTCTTTATTTTTTATATAAGTGTTTAGTTATGATACTCCCAAAATCATTCCGCAGTAAGGAAGCAAAAAATGTCCGCAGATTCTTACCACCACTGTCTTTTCAATGTCAGAACATTTTTTACACAGCATTTTGAATGGCCAACAGGTATAGATATTTAGCTCACAAAATATTTTACAGGCGTCAGGGATATTAATAAATAATTTTTTTTTCTTGCATCGCATCTTTAATAATTATTAATAAGAACCAATTTGCACCCATTTTGGGGCATTTCTTGGCTCAGAGTGAAAATCTGGGTAAAAATTTTGTTCTGTGAACTTTGCATTAATTACCATAAATATAGTTTAAATGAATGTATATATAGTCAAGTCAGTGTTTGTGTTTCTGTGCTTTATATAAATGTGTTTATATGTGCAGTTGTTGGAATGTGTATTTGTGTTTGTAAACGCTTGCTATTTATGGCCATCTAAAATGTAAACCTTTGCTTGTGCGTAGGATAAAATGTTTCATTTTTGGATAAACACGTTCTTCATCCCGGGGCCTGAGGAAGCAGGGGACAAAGTGGAGAACGGGTCGGTGGTGAACGACGTGGACAGCCTGTCTTGTCAGAGCCAGAGTTCACCGGCGGAACGGGACAGGGAGAAGGAGAGAGCCGTCGCAGCGGCTGCACTCGACAGAGAAAGAGGAGAGCAGCGAGCGGATGGGGAAAAAGACTACTTGATTTTGACCTTAACGAAGAACGACTTGGATAAAGCCAACAAAGATAAGGCTAACCGATATTTTTCACCCAACTTTAAGGTGAGGGCACTTTTAACACTCAGATTGAAAGAAACAAAGGGGTTTTATACATTATGAGAGCAAAGGTTGACGTTTTGACATTTGCATTCATACTTGGTGGTTATCAGGATCAAATAATGTGATGACAGCATTGCAGCAGGCTTTAGAATGAAGAATATATTAAAATGTTGCCAGTTGCGCATGAAAACTCAAAGATATTCCTGCAAAATACATTCTGAGGGATTTAACTGAATTTGTAAAAGGGAAAGCATAACAACAGGACTGTGTTTCCGCAGTATTATTGTCTTTTAATATTCTCTATATGAATAAAGTTAATAACTCTGTCTCCTTTCAGCAAAATGCGACTTGATTTGGAGACGCGAGATAAGATTGCTTGAATATTGCAGCAATATAAGACTATAGTAACGTGGCATTTTAAATCAGCACCTGTCAAAATATGATTTAATATCTTTTTGACTTCGCTTGCAGCTTCATATCTTTAGTTTAAAATGAAAAATACCCTTACAGTCATGTTTTTACTTAAACATTTTGGTTAAGGGTGTTGATGGCAGGGTCAGCTGTCACTCATCTCAGTATTTTAACATTTGTTGAGAGACTTGGTTTTGGGTGTCTGCAAATTGGAATTGGCATATTTATTGGAAAACAAATGATTTCTACTTGTGATTGTTCACTGTCATTTTGTTCAATCACCTGATGTTGTGTTCACACCAGATGCAGAATGCCTAGAAAAATCGCTCTATTTGCATGAAAATAGTTGCATGAACATTTGAGTTTACTCACTTCATTCGCACATCAAATCCGCTTCATTCCATGTCAAATTCACTTCAGAACGGATGTGGATTCGCGTGATAGGCAGGACTTCTGTCTTCCCGGTCACTTTAGCTTCGTTGCTAAATGGCTAACATGGATTTTATTGAGAAAATAACTATGTTTATGTGCTTTATGAAGGCTGTAAAACAGCGTCGATAAGTTTGGAGCAGTGTCTAAGTGCACTAGATCCTTTCAGAGGTGCACCCAGCTCTATGAGCTCATAAACTCCTCCAGACACTTAACCTGGATGAAGGAGGCATTCAGCGGTGCTTCTGACTGAGCCGAGCCCAGTTTGATGAACTTGTCGGTGTAGGCAGGAGGATTTTCCCCCTGGACACCAACAACAGGCACTACATCATAATCACGCCCCCACAAGAGCGAGCTCCTGATTGGTTAATGTGCCGCGAATATCCGCTAAAGTTCAGATTATCAATTCGCAAGTTAAGCATCAAATGCGCAAAACACTCAATCCGCACTGCAAGCATCATGCCACAGAATGTCTATTAGCGCCTTTTGTATTGACTTAACTTGTAAATCACTCGCGCTTGACGCTTCCGCGTCTGGTGTGAACACAGCATGAGACCTTCATTACTTTCCTCATAACACAAATTCAGATATTTTTGGTGAAATCAGAAAGCTTCCTCATACTCCATAGGTAGCAATGTTTCATACAAAGGCCAAAGAAACAACAAAAAGCGTGTTGAAATATGATCAAGCTATTATCACATGCAAAACAAATATAGCTACTTTATTGAATTGTTTCTTCTTCTCAGTGTCAATGTTTGGGATATAAAATCGTATACATTTTTATGGTTGTAACAAAAAATTTGAAATCATGTAGTCTGAACTGTGCTTAATAAAGAGGGCAGAATAAACATCAAAAGACATTGGTGCCCCTGCTGAAGTTTTTCCAAACCTGCCTCAATTTATTTTGGGGCCAAAATGAGAAGGAACCTCCTGAATGTTACCTGATATTGTGGTCAATAAGTCTTATATCAAGCTGTTGACACACACAAAACAAAAATAATTACTTTATTCAATGCTTTCTTCTTTTCAGTGTTAGTATAGGGCGCTTGTTCTTGTGTTGCACCTGATTGCGATGCTAATGTATATCTCGAATGTGCTGCTGCTTTATTTCAAACAAGAACTTGTGTGTAGCCATCCAGGGTATACATCAGTACACAGTGCTCATAAACATGCGCCTTATACTGACACTGCGGAGATGAAACTGTAGAAAGAAAGTCTTTATTTTTGTTTTATTTGCTTACAAAAGGATTCTCGTTTTGAACCGTTGAATGTATATGGTCTGTTTTGAGGATGTTACTTGGTATTTTTCTGAATGAGTTGCTGTTTATGGAGGATAAGGGAGTTCTCTGACTTAACCCAAAATATCCTAAAATGTGTTTGAAGATGAACAATGGTCTCGGGTTCTGAACAATATGAGGGAGAGTAATTGATAACAGAATTTTTGTTTTTGGGTAAACAAAACAACAAATCTGCCATTAAGCGATTTGTTTAAAAACAGCTAATGATCAAGGTAATTTTTGCATTCTTTTAGTCAAAAAAGGATGTGAAAAAAGCAATAAATTTGTGCCATGTAAATAAAACATCTCTTGTATGGTGTTGCTTTGAATTTAGTGGCAGTGACGACAAAACCGCAGTTTGTAAGCTCTGCAATGCTTCGATTTTACAAGTAAAACTTCTGCTAAAACGTTTAACACTACTAATCTGATTACACATCCTAAAGCTGATATGGGAAAGCATTTGAGCAATTCAGTCAAGGTTATTATGAATCAGTTATAATTCAAAAAAGTTTAAGTTATTTTTGGAGTTAAATCTTGAATATTAATCAAGGTAATTTATAATAGCATTTTTGTGTTTCTAAGGAGATTTGATTTGGAGAAAATGTTTTTATAAATTTTTTCAATATTTTACATTTTTTTTATGTCAAAGTAAATAGAAAAGGTAGAACCGCTGAACAGTATCTGCAGATTTTACTCTTGGCTGTTTAATCTGCCATGTTTATCAGCTGGAAATTGGTGAATCTCTTTTTGATGAAAATCATCTTTTGTAAGCTGTTTGGACAGAACTGTGTGTAGGTATAGTGTGTCCACAGTCATATTGAAGTGATATAAAGACAATAACACTCAGTGTGGTTTCCCTGCCCAAAGAATTGATTGACAGCCACGTATTTACAGGTCTCCGTAGTAACGCGTATAACCATATCAACAAGACAGGATGTGTGCATACAGTAGCAACTGGGATTAAATGATGTTCAGCTTTCTTTGATCATCAATCATCATGAAATGTGATCAAGAATGAGTTTTACAAGTTCAAAACGTTTTTAAATCATGCTTGTAATGAATTACAGCGACTTTGCCGTCATTACTTCATTAACACAGTCACATGTCAGTACAATTATAAACGAAGACGCTTCAATCCCAGTTTGTGGAAGTTAAATAAGGTTTATTTTGTACATTAAAATAACAGATACCCATAAAACAGTAGAAATTAACGTGTTTCCTGTCACATTTGCTGTGCAAAAACAGTGCAGTGTTAAATGCGCATGAACTTTGTAATGACATTGTGTGTGACTCACCATTGCAGAAAGGCTTGAATTAACTCCACAGCAAAAACATCAAATAATCATTGGTAAAGTTCTTACTGTAATATTTCTTCAAAAACTTTATGTAAGATCTGGTTCCTTCATGTTTGTCAATGTGCTGTTTATCTAAAGCAGTCGAAGCACAGATTGAGGCCCACTCTGACAGGCATGTGGGTGGAGAGAACTAGCATTAAAGGTACAGGCCACAAAACAGCTACAATGTGTTCAGAGCTGCCAATTCCAGTATTCTGAAAGGTATAATAAATAATCTGAAAGCTGTTTTGAGCTGAAACTTTAAAGACATATTCTGGAAACACAAAAGACTTCTCTAAAAGGTTTAAAATAGGTGCCCTTTAAGACATTTTTTGCGTTATTTCTAATAAATAAATAAATGTTAACCAACTTGAATAAATGTTTTTAATCTTTAGAAAATGTTAAGCAGCACAATTATTCTCAACATTTATAGCAATCAGAAATGTTGTACACGTCAAATTATCACTGTTTTTCAGTATTATTGTTCAAGTAAATGCAGCCTACAAGTGTACAAGTCTTCTTTTCAGAACCTTCTGATAAATGTCCTACTTTGTGTTTATGTAGCATAAAGCAGTGTTTCTCAACCACACAACTTGCACATTTTCCAAGTCCTCTAGGAACATGGTGGAGAATCACTGGAGTAAAGTACTCGTTCTTATGCATCGTTCTTGTTCTGTCTCCCAGGTCAAATTGTATTTCACCAAGACCGTGGAGGAGCCCTCAAACTCAGAAGCAAGCACTTCAACTTCTGTCACTCCGGACGTGAGTGATAATGAACCCGATCACTACCGTTATTCAGACACCACTGATTCTGACCCGGAAAATGAACCTTTTGACGAGGAACAGCACGCACAGATTACAAAAGTCTGAACTTATATTGGCATCAACACACACTTACATACAAACAAAACAAATACATGCCGGACAAAAAAACAAACTAAAAAAAAAAACAAGACAAACCAACCAACACCAGTGAAATAAAAAAAGGAGAAAACTTGAAAATAAACTGAAGAGAAAGGACCCTTCCTCCCGCAGCTCAAGGACAGTCCTGTCGAACACCATCGATCGCAGAAGAAGAAATCCTGACCAATATATTGTTTTACTTCATTTTAATTGATGAATTTTGCGCGTGGAGAACGACATCGTTGCCTGAGGTCGGCGGGAGGGTCCTGTAGCTATTCTGTGTGTATATATAAAAAAATCCCTTTTTTGTGTCAAAGACGATTAAAATCTAGGCAATCAGGCGAGGAGAGGGGAGGGGAGTGGAGGAGAGGAAGAGCAGACCACACATCTCTCCTTCTCCCTGTCTTCATCCGGGTCAGTGCTGCAATCACCCTCTCCGCCTCTCCCTCGCTCTTCCCCTCCTTACTGTGAATGCTTTTCGTGCTGTCCGCAGGCGCAAGACCTTTCCCCCCTTCCTGCGCGCTCTCTGCTGCTGTACAGAGTCCTGAGGATTTCTTGCAAATGCTACGGCGTGCAAACGTTCCTTTCCCTCCTCTTTAAAACCTTACTTCTTGTCCTGTCCCGACCCGTTCCCTATCCCCCCACCCCCCACTGTGTATAACGATAAATTATGCAGAAAAACACGACATCCCATGTAATTGTCGATGTTTTTGTTTTCTTTTATTTTTTCCTTTTTTTATCCTAAGATAATAAAAAATATAATACATGAAAGCGCAGGGAACCAGTGTTTGCAATAATGTTAACACTCAACATTTAAAGGACAAAAATTGGTGTGCATGTCATTGGAGTCAGTGTCCATGTTTAATAAATGCTATATGATGTGTTTTTATTAAAACAGAAGTGTCGGAACTCTCTTAAACGCTCGTCTGAGATCCATTCACAAAGGGAAATTGGGTTTATAAGCTTCAAGATGTGTCTTGTTGTGCGGGGAAACTATGTAAAAGGGGTTTTTATTGATATTGAAAGTCGTTTTTGCTTATTTTTACATTTGCTTTGCATTCTAAAATGTCTCATCTTAAAGGTGCAGTAGGTGATCTGCCTAAATGCTAACCAGTTAGCATAATATCTTTGACACACAATCCCTCCCCTGCTGTCCAAAGACACGCCTCCTGAAATCACGAACGTGCACATTAAAGATGACAGAGACCCAGTAGATCATGTCATTCGCCAGTTAGATATTTTCATAATACTACAATTCTGAAAGAAAAACTGTATTATATCTAGCACGTTTTCAGTTGTGTAGCAAGCAAAACTCGTCATAATGTGCAATGTTTCATGCATGCAAAGATCACTGCTCTCTCTCACATGCTTTGTCCTAAAGTGACCACTGTATGCTTAGCGTGCAGGAATTACACTTATTGCTAAACCATACTTGCATGCTATTTCAGATAATATTCAGAGTAGCATGATAAACGATACAAGTATACACCTCACAGGCTGTCATTGTTAAAAAATAAACCAACTTGAATATAAAACCAACTTCACTGCTTGGCGGAAAAGCGATATTTATATTCTATTAAACAAAATAAAAATCTACATTATCGATGCTGTAAAAGGCCTTATGCAAAATAATCACATCATTCTTTCACCGGAAGATTTCAGTGGCTGAAAAACACTTCTGTGCATATAACACATTCGTAAAAAACACAATCTGCATCAGCTTTGCATGAATAAAATACTTTGAAACACATTACCCATCTAAAAGAAATACTTCGGCCATGGTGTCGTCCTTTCTCCAATGTGCAAAAGTAACTCCAATATTGATTCAGCATTTGTTTTTACCGTTGTCTCTTTGGTGTCCAGGTGAATGTAGCGCGCATGCAGATCTGCGTGAACGCCAATGGTTGCGCACATGTACAAATCTACATTTGTTGACGGACAATTTGGGCTACTTGTCAGAATTATCGGTCTGACAAATTTTAATTAGATGAACTTTTTTTAGTCTTATGCCTCACCCATAATCTAAAAATACATCTAAACACATTTAGATCATTTCATTAATCGTTACTATTGTAATGTAAAGACTATTTCAACCTGCACAACAAAAAAAATTTCTGAAGACAATCACCTACTGCACCTTTAAATGACTTAAAAAGACCACTTTGAAAAAGTATGGGGACAGTGAGGCTTTTTTTAGTCTCGTGTTTTGATTTGCTAAACAAATTTAAATGGCTGCTTTCTACTAAAATGTTTTTAAAATATAACTTATTCTTGGAATGGCAAAGCCAAATTTTGCACAACCTTGGCCAACAGTCCTAAGCATGTTCTCAACAGTCAGAGTGTGAATTTTTTTGTGGTTAAAAAGGTCTTGAATTCTTTAAATCTGCCTTCATAAGGCCCTGGCATATACTCTGAGTTCCATGTGATTTCAGCAATCTGCCAGCTCACACTGTTTGGGAAGATTGCTATGATTTTAAAACCAAAGCTCACAATTTATATGCAAACACGCTAATTGTTCTGCAGGTATTTGACTGCTTACACTATACAGTGCTCAGTAAATATAAGTACAACCCTCACAAATTCATATTTTAAAAGGAAGATATACAAGATTAAATTTGTGCATGTACATTAGATTAGACAGTACTGAAGTCAAATAACGGACCAAAAACTAGTACAGCCAAAAAAAAATATCTTAAAGAAAAATATTAAATGCAAATTTTAAAAAAAGAGGAAAAATCAAGAGAAGCAAAAAAAAAAAAAAAAAAATAGAAAACTTTAGTTGAAATTTTGTAGTTTGTAATTTTTTTCCAATATTTTGCTTGAATTTAATTGTATCTTTCAATTTCCAAATATGTTTGGTGACTAAAATATTATCTTAATAAAAAAAAAAAAATTATATATATATATATATATATATATATATATATATATATATATATATATATATATATATATATATATATATATATATATATATATTTGTTTAATAAATCTTTTTTGTTTAAATGCACCAAAATACATTGCCTATATTCACTGAGAAATGGAGAAAACTCAATTTTCAAAATGAGCTGTACTCAATCATGCTGAGCACTGTACATGTAAAAATCAAGGTCACACCTTCTTCTCCTTTGGTTAAATGGTGGTTGGCAAACCATCATATGGTACATTTATGCCACCTTATGGGAATTTATCAAAATCAGCCCATTTAAAAAGCCCTCTTCCCTGTCCATGTCTGTTTTTTTTCTTGAATATATGCTTATTGATTCCCAGATTGACGTTTATAAAAGTCTCTCCTTGGGTTTCTTTTCCCCAGACTGTGCTCTCTCTGTAATCTTGCTTTTATGAGGAATGGAGGGTGCATTTCACAACATTACTGCCACTTTAATGCAGTGTATAATACAAATCTGAAACGGGGTCTTCTATTGGTTTTCCAGGTTGAGGATATTTTTAGATTGACATAAATGATGCAAATCCCTGTGATGGGTTTAGGCACAGCACTTCAGTGGTCTGAAGCAGATGTCGGTTCAGGCAGCTATTTAGAGCTTAGTGCTTTGCTATATCTACTGAAAATTGACTTTTATAATTACAGTTTTAAAGTAAATAATCTCGATAGTTACTGTGCTAGTCGGCGATCTGACTATCCTATATGTAATTGTCCAGCCGTAATGCTGTAGATATCTGCAGTCATTAGATTAGAGCTCACAGACATGGAGGCAAATATTAATCTCATAACAAAGAGAGGAGGACGTAGAGATGTAATCCGCTCCTCTTCTCATCTTCTGTGTTTCTTTTTTGATTTTGCTCTTGGTGGTTTCTGTGCCCTCTTGTCGAGTCGCTCCATGCTGGCGTGTATCTTTTACTGATGTTGATAAAAACATCAATCTAGACTCTCGGTCGCTAATGATGTAGACGGGAACTGTACCGCTACACTGTAATTGGTCGCCCGTCTGGGAGTCATAGAAACCAGCCCTGAATGACCAATGAGGTGATTGTCCTCCTCTGTCGGCAAGCATGTTTTCTTTCATCAGCCAGAGATTCAGTCACTAAGAACGGCTACGCCTCCAGTTTACGTCTTAGAAGTCGGTGCTGATGCAATGCTGTGACAATCTGGCAAACGCTGTGGCTACTTAATCTCATTTTTTAGGGATTTTAAAAGCAGCTTTATACAGCAAATGTGATTCGGTTTAGAAAATTCCCTTTAGCTTTGACTTTAGGGTGTTCTGTGTTTTAGTAAAGTGTAATATTAGCTCATTCAGTAATCAAGTTTGCACTCCGTGCTCTTGGTTTTAAAAACTTTTAGTGCATCAATCTAATTAATAACATTCAGAAAGTTATGATTCGCACTCATTAAATAATTACTTTGTATAGCTTTATTTTACATCCACTAAGAATGTAAAATAAAGCTATACAAAGTAATTATTTAATCATGACCTTCTGAATAATATTAGCTAGTTCAAAATGGACTTAGTTTATTGTTTAAAGTATTCGCTACATCTGGCAACCCTTCATCTACACTGTTGCACTGTATGAAAGTAATCTGGTCAAATTTGCTGTTAGAGCGCAGCTGTGCTATGTTTGGATTAGACCCAGAATGAAACAGGAAGTAGGGATTAACTGGCCTGGGTGGCAGGTTCTGCATTTCTTTCAAAGAGCTCAACGCCGCTGAGAGAAGAAGGGAAGTATATTTTAGTATATTATAATATGTTTTCATTATTAGTAAATATAGCTGTGGTTGGAGAAAAAATAAAGTGTTAGGCTAGTTTCCAACCTCCTTAGCTGACAAAAGGGAAATTGTGGGTTTCATACATTTAGCCCATTTATTATTCTACTAAGCATTTATTATTAGTCTGTGAAACAATGTTGAGGACAAATATTAGAGAATACACAAGCAAAAATACTTAAAAACAAACAAACAAACAAACAGACACACAGTACAGTATCTTATTGCAGCTTGAATTGACCCAAGAGGCCGTCTAAACAGAAAGTAGAGCAACTAGTCGCAGTTAGGTATGAAGACATCTAACATATTT